GTGATGCTGATAAAGATAACAATGATAATGTTAAAAATGACAGCGATACTAATAAAGCTAATGGTGAAGAGAGTTTGGGTACTCATTTGCTGTCGATTCTAATGATGTTTATAGAAATGACGTCTACAATAATGGTTATAGTGAAAATGATGAAACTGATGATGATTATGATACTAATAAGGCTGATAATCAAGATAGATTTGGTCATGATTTACTGGTGATCCTTATGTCGTTCATAGAGATGACGATTAAAATAGTGGTAATAGTAATAATAATTCTAATGATAATGGTGTGAAAGTTAAAAATAATAATTCAGATAAAATTAATGATGTTAATAATTAATCATAAAGGTAATAGTAATGATAATACTGATGATAGTAATATTAGTAAAAAAATGATAATGAGGATGATAATAGTGATGATGATGAATGATCATGATGATAATACACACTACGATTTTTGTTAGTAAAGATGTTACTTATAGTTGTAGTTATTTTTAAAATAATAATAATAATGATGATTATAATAATGATTATGATAATGATGAGTATAGTTATGTAGATAATGATGATAATGATGATAATGATAATGATGAATATAATGATGATGTTAACTATGTTAATAATGATAATGATGATAATAATGATGATAATAATGATGATGATAATGATGATAATGATAATAATGATAATGATAATAATAATGACGATAAAGATGACAATAACTAATGATAATGATGAATATGAAAATAATGTTAATAATAATACTGAGTAAAATGATGGTGCTCATTATGACGATGATGGTAATAATAATAATGATGATAATATTAATAATGATAATAATAATAATAATGATTATAATGATAATAATAATAATGANTGATTATAATAATAATGATGATGATAATGATAATTATGATAATTATAATGATGTTGATATTAATAATTGTTATAGCAATTATAATAATGCTGATAATGCTTCTAATAATAGTATTATCTGGATGATAATAGTAATGATGATATAAATAACGATAGAAATGATGATGATTTCAACGTATAATAATGAAAACAATAATTATAATACTGATAATAATAATGGTAATAATTATTACGAAGATGATGATGATCATGACAATGATAATGATCATGATGATTGTAATGATAAAAATCATATTAATAATAATAATAGTAATGATAATAATAACAACGATAATGATAAAAAAAAATGATAATGATAATAATATTAATGATAATGAGAGTAATGTATAATTTCAATAATAATGATCATAATAATGCGAATAACGATTATTGTAATGAAGATGACGATGATGATATTGATAAAATTAAAGCTAAAAATATTATTAATAATGTGTAATAATAATGATGATGATGATAACAATGATAATACTAATGACTATACTGATAACAATGCTTATGATGATAATAATAATGATGATGATGATGATGATGATGTTGATGATAGTCGTAATGATAATAATGATAATAATGATGATAATGATAATGATGATGATGATGATGATGATAATGATGATGATGATAATGATAATAATGATAATAATGATGATGATGATGATAATGATGATGATAATAATATTAATCATGATAATATAAAGGTAAAGAAAATTATAATAGTGGTAATTAAAAAAGATGACGATAATTATAACTATAAAGATAATAATGATGATAATGATAAAGATAATGATAATGATAAATGTCATGATGATTATGATAATTGTGATCTTGATGGTAATGGTGATTACAACGCTGATAGTTATGCTTATGAAGATAGCGATTATGACGATGATGATGATAATGATACTGATGAAGCTGATAATAAAGATAGTTTTGATAATGATTTGCTGGTGATTCTGATGATGTTCATAGAAATAACGTTTAGAAAGATGGTAAAAGTAATCGTGATACTAACGATAATGATGTTGATGATGAAAATAATGATCAAGATGATAATAGCGATAATCAATCATGATAATTATGATTATGATAATTATAGTAATGATAATGATAATGTTAGAGATTATATAGATGATGATGTTGACGATTGTGACTATGATTAAAATAATTGTGTTTTAGATATTAATGATAGTGAGCTTAATGATAATGATACTAATAGGAATAATAATGATGGCGATGATAAAACTGATGATACTACTGGAGATTATAAAAAATATGGTAATCTTCATAATTTTTTGCGGTTCTAATGTCGCATATGGAAATAACGGTTACGACGATTGTAATAGTAATAATAATAATAATGTTGATCATGGAAAAAGTAATAAATATAATGGTGATCATAATAACAATGATAATGATAAAGACAATGATGTTGACGATTGTGACTATGATTACGATAATTGTGCCCATGATAGTATTGATAATAAAAATGATGATAGAAACGTTGCTATAGATATTTGTAATGACGATGATGCAAATTATGATACTAATAAAGATGATGCTATAGATAGAGCTGCTAATGATTTTATGGTTACTAACACGTTATTTACAAAGATAACGATCACAATCATGGTAATAGTAATAATGATACAAATGATAACGTTAAAGATGATAATTGTAATAGAGATAGTAATGATGGTGGCCCCAAAGATAGTTATACTAAAAATGATGACAATGATGACGATTACAATAATAATGATACTAATACAGATGATGATAAAAATAGAGAGGTTAAAAATTTGCTAGTGATTTTGATGTTGCATATAGAGCTTACAATTACAATGAATGTTAAGGTGATAATAATACTAATATAGAATAGACATTAATATATACTATAATAATAATAATGATGACCATGATTGTAATGATAATGACAACGATGATAGTGATGCAGATAGAAATAACGATGATGACTGTGACCATAATAGTAATGATGATAAGAACGATGTGAGTGATGCTAATGTTTAATTATAATAATATTAATATAAAACAATAATAATGATAATATAATATGATATAATAGTGTTGCCGTTTNATAATAATGATAGTAATAATGATGATGTTAATGATGAGAATTAAAATTAGAATACTAATAGTGATGCTAATGTCTGATAATGGTGATAATCATTATTATGATGGTTATGGTAATAATGATGATGAAGATGATGATGACGATAAAGATAATGATGTAAACGATTGTAAGTATGATTATTATAACTGTAACCACGATAGGATTAATAATGAAAACGATGACAGTGATGCTCATATAGATAACGATTATAACGATAATAATAATAATGATTCTAATGAAGCTTATAATGTAGATAATTTAACAATTGAATTGCTGGTGATCCTAATGTTGTTTACGTAGATGACCATTGCAGTGATGGTAATAGTAATAATAATACTTACGATCATGATGTTGATGATGAAAATGATGATGAAAATAATGATAGTGATAATGATAAAGATGATAATGATGATTTTGATTCTGATGATTATGGTAATCATAATGATGATGTTAAAGATTATATGGCTGATGTTGACTATTGTGACTATGATTCTTTAAATTATGTTTCAAATAGTAATGATAGTAATTCCAATGATTGTGATACTGATAATGATGACAATAATGACGATGATTAAACTGATGATACTAATGGAGATAATGATTTAGATATGATGTTAGTAATGTGCTGGTGGTTCTGATATCGCATATAAAGATGATAATAACGATAATTAAAAAAGTAATAATTATACTAATAATAATGATGTTGATGCAGAAATAATGATAAAGGTAATGATAGTGAAGATGATAATGATGAAATCTATAAATATAAAGATTATAATATTGATGATGATGACGATAATACTAATAAAGATGTTAACAATTGTGACTATGATTATGATAATTGTGACCATCACAGTAATAATAATAACAACGATGATAGTAATGTTGCAATATAATGCAAATGATGATACTAATGAAAATGTTGCTTATAGATAGTGCTGTTAATCATTTGCTCGTAATTCAGATGTTGTTTACAGAGATAACGATCGCAATCATGGTAATAGTAATAATAATACAAATGACAATGACGTTAAAGATAATAATTGTGTTTAAGATAGTAATGATGGTGACTAAAATGATAGTAATACTGAGAATGATGACAATTATGACAATAATGATTATAATGATACTAATAAAAATGATAGGGAAAATAGTGAGGTTAAGAATTTGCTGGTGATTCTAATGTTGCACATGAAGATGACCATTACGACAAATGTAAAGTGAAAATAATACTGATGATAATGATGTTGAGATGAGAAGGATCATTAATATAATAATAGTAATGATAATGTCTGAAAATGATGATAATTATGATTATAATGGTTATGGTAATAATAATAATGAAGATGATGATTATGATGATTATAAAGATAATGATGTTAACGATTGAGAGTATAATTATGATAACTGTGACCATGATAGTAATGATGATAAGAACGATATGAGTGATGCTAATGTTCAGTAACAACAATTATAGTATAATACAATAACAATAATAATATACTATAATATAATAATAATACTAATAAAGCTGATGATTGAGATAATTTTAGAAATAATTCGCTGGGGATCCTAATGTCGTTTACGTAGAAAATAATTACAATAATGGTATTTGTAATAAGAATACATAATAGTAAATATAAATAATAATGAAAATGATGAAAGTGATAATAATAATACAAATAAAAAGATGTTAGACATAATAATGTAGATATTGATGTTTATCATTTGCTGAAAATTTTGATGTTGTTTATGGAGATGAAGATTACATTAATGTCAGAAATAATCAAAATACTGATAATAATAATATTGATGATGATAATCAATAAAAATGGTAAAGGAAATTATAATAGTGATAATTAAAAACGATGACGATAATTATAACTATGAAGATAATAATGATGATAATGATATAGATAACAATGATATTGTCAAAAATGACAGCGATACTAATAGAGATAATGGTCAAGAGAGTTTGGGTACTGATTTGCTGTCGATTCTGATGTTGTTTATAGAAATGACTTCTACAATAATGGTTATAGGAAAATAATGATACTGATGATGATCATGATACTAATAAGGCTGATTATCGAGATAGATTTGGTCATGATTTACTGGTGATCCTTATGTCGTTCGTAGAGTTGACGATTAAAATAGTGGTAATAGTAATAATAATTCTAATGATAATAGTGTTAAAGTTGAAAATGATAATTCAGTTAAAATAATTGATGTTAATAATTAATGAAGTTCATAATTATTATAATAATTTTGGTAATAATGGCGATAATATCAAAAATTAAGATTCTGATAATAATAATTGTGTTTGAGATAGTAAAGTTTGTAACTCTAGTAAAAGTGATACTAATAAAGATGACAATGATGACGATAATAAAAATCATGAATCTAACATAGGTGATGATAAAAAAAATTATGATAAATGATGTTAATAATTTGATGGTAATTCAGATGCCATTAACAGAGATGACGATTACTATAATAATAATAGTAATACTGAAACTGATGATAAACGACATAATAGTAATAATAATAATAATAACAGAGACGTTAATGATGATAATTCTGTGTTAGATAGTAATGATGGTGTCTAAAAAGATAGTAATACTGAGAATGATGACAATTATAACAATGATGATTATTATAATACAAATAAAAATGATAGTGAAAATAGTAAGGTTAAAAATTTGCTGGTAATTCTGAAGTTTCACATGAAGATGTTGACTATGACAAATGTAAAGTAACAATAATACAGATAATAATGATGTTAAGATGAGAAGGATCATTAAGATAATAATAGTAATGATAATGTCGGATAATAATGAAAATTATCATTATGATGGTTATGGTAATAATGATGAAAATGATGATGAGGATGATGATAATAAAAATAATGATGTTAACGATTGTGAGTATGATTATGATAACTCCGACCATGATAGTAACGATGATGAGAACGATATGAGTGATGCTAATGTTCAGTAACAATAATACTAGTATAATACAATAACAATAATAACATACTATAATATAATACTAATACTAATAAAGCTGATGATGAAGATAATTTAAGAAATAATTCAATAGGGATCCTAATGTCGTTTACGTGGAAAATAATTACCATAATAGTATTTGTTATAAGAATACAGAATAGTAAATATGGAAATAAAAATAAAAATGATGATAGTGATAATAATAATACAAATAAAAAGGATGTTAGACATAATAATGTAGATAATGATGTTTATCATTTGCTGAAAATTTTGATGTTGTTTATGAAGATGAAGATTACATTCATGTAAGAAATAATCATAATACTGATGATAATATTATTGATGATGATAATTAATGAAAATGGTAAATAAAATTATAATAGTGGTAATTTAAAAAGATGACGATAATTATAACTAGAAATACAATTATGATGATAATGATAAACATAATGATAATGGTAAATGTCACGATGATTATGATAATTGTGATCTTGATCGTAATGGCGATTACAACGCTGATAGTGATGCTTATGAAGATAACAATGATAATGTCAAAAATGACAGCAATACTAATAGAGCTATTAATAAAGAAAGTTTGGGAACTGATTTGCTGTCAATTCTGATATTATTTATAGAAATGACATCTACAATAATGGTTATAGTGAAAATAATGATACTGATGATGATCATGATACTAATAAGGCTGATAATCAAGATATTTTTGGTAATGATTTACTGGTGATCCTTATGTCGTTCATAGAGATGACGATTAAAATAGTGGTAATAGTAATAATAATTCTGATGATAATAGTGTTAAAGTTTAAAATGATAATTCAAATAAAATAAATGATGTTAAAAATTAATGATAATCATAATTATTATTATAATTTTGGTAATAATGATAGAAATATCAAAAATTAGCTAACTAATAAAGCTAATGGTGAAGAGAGTTTGGGTACTGATTTGCTGTCGATTCTGATAATGTTTATAGAAATGACGTCTACAATAATGGTTATAGTGAAAATGATGATACTGATGATGATCATGATACT